CAGAAACGTCAACTTTCCTGCTCCTCTGATGATGCCTGGCCTGCTGTGTTCTTCCAGCTCCACACTTTGTTGTCTCTGACTCCAGCATCTGTAGTTCTTGCTATCTCTGAGTGACAGGTCCAGTCTTTCAAGTCAGGAGAGTGATGGAATACTCACCACTTGCCTCAATGTTTGCAGCTCCAACAACACCCAAAAAGCTTGACACTATCTAGGACAAAGCAGCCCACTTAATTAGCACCAAATCCACAAGCATCCACTCCCTCCACCACTGACACTCATTAGCAGCAGTATGTACTATCTATAAGATGCATTGCAGAAATTCACCAAAGATCCTTAGACAGCACCTTCCAAACCCACGACCACTTCCATCCAGAAGGACAAGGACAGCAGATACATAGGAACAGTACCACCTTCAAGTTCCCCTCAAAGCCATTCACTGTCCTGATTTGGGAATATATTGCTGCTTTTTTCATCATCACTGGGTCAAAATCCTCAAATTCCCTTCTTAAAGGCATTGTGGGTCAACCTACAGCACGTGGACTGCAGCAGTTCAAGAAGGCAGCTCACCGCCACCTTCTTAAGGGCGACTGGGTACAGGCAATAAGGGATGGTCAACTAGCAACACTTATTTTCCATGGGAGAATAATTTTAAAAAGGGCATGGATTTGGAAGGTGTTGTCTAAGGACCTTTGGTGAAGGACCTTACAGTGTGTAAAGTGCACCTTACAGTATGTAGATAGTACACACTGATGCTACTGAGCTTCAGTGGTGGAGGGAGTGGATGCTTGTGGATTTGGTGTCAATCAAGTGAACTGCTTTGTCTGGATGGTGTTGAGATTCTTGAGTTTTCTCTGACAGCTATCACATGTAGCAGAGCCTGAACACAGTTTTAGAAGGTGCAGGTCTGAAGGCTGTCCTCTCAGCTTTGGCTGTACATCCAGAGAAAGTCTATACATCTGAGGTTTGGGCATTTATAGAAGGTGCCAATTTGAGGCAAACCCTGACTGCTGATGGGACTGTGCTCCTGATTTTACATTTATGGTCATTTCAATTGATCTTGTTAGAATGATTCCATATTATGAAAGTTGGAGTGCTTTAAATCCAATCCTCTTTTTAGAGCTTTCTGGACACCATTAAAAAAAACCATCTCTGTCACCCACATTTCAGAATTTCATGTGTAACAAACAACATCTTGTGTCAGCGAAAATCCCTACCACTATCAATGAGAGGAAGCAAGATCAGGGTGATTGTAGTAACCACCTCAGCCCACTTCATCCCTCAGGGCGCTCTCCCCCAAGATGCTGCTTCCTGGTCCATCTTGTGCATGCGTATCGTTGTTGGCGTTGCACTGACTCCCATTCCGATTGGCCAAAGTTGTCCTCGCCCCCCCCACCTCACCAACCAATAGGCGGAAGACGGATCCTCACCGAACCCCATCCCCTCCGCTCTCCAGCATTGGCCGAACGCTCCCCCTACCTCCTCCTATTCCCACCTCCTATTGGCCGGGCCGCCGGTGGCCCTTACGCCATTGGCTGTTGCCACGTTACGGCGCGGCGGCAGTGCCACGTCGTTTGATGCCGGAGGCCAGGTCTGGGGAGAGGAGAAGTAAGTCCGGAGAGAGACTGGGATGGAGAGAGGTGGGAAAATAGGGGCCTAAGGCCAGAGGAAGAGGGTGAAGGTGAAGGTGGAAGAGGGAAAGAAAGTGAGAGGGGGGCAGATCCAGGGTCGTTAGGGATCCCGGAGGGATAGGGAGAGAGGGAGAGAAAGAAAGAAAGAGTGAGAGTGTGAGAGGGGGAGGGGGTGGAGGGTGGAGGGAGGAGGGAGAGAGAGGGTGAGGGTGAGGATGGAGGGTGAGGGTGAGGGTGGAGGGAGAGAGAGGGTGAGGGTGAGGGTGGAGGGTGAGGGTGAGGGTGAGGATGGAGGGTGAGGGTGAGGGTGAGGGTGGAGGGAGAGAGAGGGTGAGGGTGAGGGTGGAGGGAGAGAGAGGGTGAGGGTG